GAGGGTTTTTTAAGGAGAGGGAGGTGTAGGATTTTTCTTTTAGTAGCGAATTTTTAATCTGAGTAAGTTTGTTGGACAAGCTTGAGGAAAGCGTGAAAATAAAGGGGGGAGGGAAACGAACACATTTTATCGCTCATTGATTAAACGTATTCTCACACCTTTTGTGTATTTTTTAGCCGTTAATTATTGCGTTTGAATATTCCAACGCGTGCTCTTTTTTTTTTTTTTTTTTTTTTTTTCCTCACTCAATTGGACGGCAAAAGTAAATCGATCCCGGCGATCGTGGCGGCGATACGCACGCGAACGCGTGACGGAAATCGCTTTTATTTTCCTCGGCGAGAAAGCAGCGATAAAAGAGGCGAAAAGATCGTTCGAGGTATCTGTTGGCTCAACTTGCTCTAAATTTTAATCGCTCGAGCGATTAAACGAAGAGAAACGAAGAAATTCACAAACCCTCCCCTCTCTCTCTCTCTCTCTCTCTCTCATTTCGTTTGATAACGGAATCGTACGTTCGTGTCACGAACGAAGGAATTTCCAGAGAGAATTTGCCAAGGAAAAAATACGGGGTGGTGGCCCTTTTTCAATGCAACGACACGAAGAGAGTTGGTTTAGTTAATAGAGAGTGATTACGCGGCATTTTAGAAAATATACCGCGATCGAGGTATATATACCTACGTATCGGGCCATTTATCTTTTCTCTTTAATCTATCGTCGACGTTAATTGATACCTGTTACGCGTATTACGTTTCACAACGTAATATTCAAACAAATGATGGTTAATCTGGCATTATCGTTTCCGTTCCGTTTTCAACGCCTTGAACTCGTGAAAAAAGCAGTCGTTGACTGCTCGACAATTGGACAATTGAAATGAATAAATGTTGGAATAAAGTGAATGAAACAGACAATAATTAAGAATTATTGGAGCTTTTTGAAAAAGTGAAGGCAAATCTCTCGATTTTATAGATATTGATATTTCGATATTGCGAAAGAAACGCGGAAAAGAGGCAAAAGAAGAAGGGGAAGGAGAGATATCTTCACACCATCGCTTCCCCCTTCTAACTATCCGTCGAGGTATAGGAGGAGAGGCCCAGTTCGTCCAAGATAACGTCGTGATGAGCGGCGGTATCAACGATAAGTACAAGTTCAAACGTCAAAAATGGACATGCATATTTCATCGCGCGATAGCCGGCGGCGCGTCCGTCCGATCGCGGCACAGGAATTATCGCGATATCTCCTTTTCGTTGCGCAATGTTACTATGAAAATTACTGCACCCCTCGGTCCCGGAGATATGCAACGATAATTCGCCTTTTACGCGACACCTGTCCTCGCTGTATCGGGACGACACTTTTTTTTTTTTTTTTTATTAAACCTGTTGGAGGAAAGGAAGAGAGAGAGAAATCTGCTTTCAAAGCGGGATAATTTAATTTAATTTTAAAAAAAATAAATTTTAAAAAATTTAATTATTTTTTTTTTTTTGGATGAAGAATAAAGAAGGGAAAATTTGCAAGAATTGAAGATAGAATAGATATATGGGGATTAGAATTTTTTTATAAATACGATTGAAAGAAAAAAGAGGAATAATGTATTTAACGATTTTCGAAAAAGAAAATAAGAGTTAATTAATATCGCGTGTATCTTTGTATCTACGCGCCGAGTTTACTTCGAAATTATCGTAAATATAGGTAAGTAATAACCTAAGATAAAAATGAGAGAAAGATTCGTGTGTAAACGATATGAGAATGAAAAAAGGTGAGAAAATACGCAAGAAAAATGAGCGTGGCATACCAAGCCTATATAACACTTGGTTGGGATCACTCATCCCGTGGAACTGTGGCCAGGGCCTTTATTGCTCGTTTGTTCGCTCGCGTGCTCCCTTTGACGCTTTATTTCATTTAAAAATCACGGAAATTAAGTTTCATAAAAGAGTGTACTAAACGATCTCAACAGGCTTCGAAGAGAGCGACGAAGAGAGCGGCTCTTGTAACCGCGTCAAATCGTCGAAAAAAAAAAAAAAAAAAAAAAAAAAAAATAAGAAGAAAAGAAAAAACTCTCTTTCCCTATACTTTATACTTTAAACGCCGAGACGTTGGCCTAATTGACTCGTTTAACCGGCCTTTCTCCCGGCCTCCTCCCTCGATCCACTCTGCTTACGAATTTCTACTTCCGCTTGTGCGTGTGCACACGCGACCAAAACCGTAATTAAGCGTTTCTTTCAGGATTGAACTAGTAGTAAGGAGGAAGGAGGAGGGGGATCCATTAACCGTTGATTTTCTCGGAACAGTGGCCGATCTGAAACCTGTGCCCTCTTACTCGTATTCGCGTAATTGCCGGGTGAATTTCATTATTATGGAGGAGAGGGGGGAATATATATGTGTGTATAGTAACGCGCCTTATTTCCTTATCGAGATATTTTAACGCAAGAAGAGAGAATTTAACGCTGTGGTCCCAAGTTTTTCCAAGAAACGAGTAAACAAGATAAAGATCGAACGTTTCACCAGGATGCGCAAAAAAAAAAAAAAAATACGGGATCCACCGTGTAAAGGAAACGAGTCCAAGTATATACGAATTATCGTTAACGTTGGATGGATCTGGCTAATATTGCGTCGATCATCAATTTTCTATTCTTGGAACGATCTCGCAGAAGGACGAATGATAACGTTTGGGGTACGATAAATTTTGAATCGATCGAAAACCTATTACACCAAATAACTAAGATCTAACCGATTTTCCATTATAATACGAATTACGATTCACGGTATACGAATAATCCGCGATGTTAAATAAAATCGAAAAAAAAAAGAAGAAAAAGAAAGAGAAAGAGATACACCCTGATGAATCTCCCTCGATTCATAAATCTCCACGAATCCATCAACATCCTAGCCACCTGACCATTTTCCAAGAATCCTAGACCGATCCTGGTCCGAATCATCCCCCCTTCAGCGAGGGCATAATCGGATGCAGGCCGCTCTAAATCAATCTCCACAGCCGGATAACAAGCTTAAGGCCACGAAGCCGTGGTGGATCGACAAAGAGGACGATCACGGATAATTACACGCGCGGAAATTGCGGCTGGCCCAATCCTGCGTCCGGTGGTCTACGTCTCAATACGTACGCGCGCCTCCTCCTCTCCCTCCATTCGTTTCGTTCCTGACCTGTACCAGTGGCCGACCGACAGCCGCGCTCTCTCTCTCTCTCTTTCTCTCCGTTCTGAGAGCACAGAGAGAGAGAGAGAGAGAGAGAGAAGGATGGACTCGAATAATGCCCGGGGCGATCCAGGCCCCGAAGACCTCTCTCTCTCTCTCTCTCTCTCTCTCTCTCTCTGCCTTTCCTTAAGTATAGGGCTCGCTTAACGATGTTTGTTTTATACATTGGCAGCCTGTTCACCGAACCTGTAATCTTTCTAAACGAGATATTACCAGGGCCCGTCCGCGAGAACCGAGGCTGGCTTCTTCCCTTCGTGGCGGGGCCTCGGACACGAGGGACACGACCAGAGTCTCGAGGAATACGAATGTACGAAAATTGGAACCACCACAGCACCCACAAAATTGCACTCGCCCATGAACAACAACGTTGGTAAGTAACTTGGGGAGGAATTGGAGGCGAGAGGGTTGTTCTCCATAGGGGATCTTTTTTCTTTTTAGAGAGAATTTCGTATCGTGAAATTGTAGAAATAAATTGTTTCTTCTTATGCAATGGTAATAATTATGAGAACGAGCAGAAGATTTGATGTTTTGAAAAATATATATATATATATATATATATATATATATATTTCCTTGAAGATTCATGAGATTGAATATTCGATAATTTCGAAGAAATCGGGGACGATATTTAAAGGAAAACGCGGCGTTTAAAATTCAAAGTCGCGTCGAAACGGAGAGAAGGAGAGAGAGAGAGAGAGAAAAAGAGAGAAAGGAGAGGGAACGTAGGAAGGTAGGGAGGAGGGGAGAGGAGGACAAGGAAGGAATAACAATACTATAGATCCAAGGGTATAAGCACGAGCTGTAAGCGTGTTCTCTTTGCTTAACTATTATAGTTCGGTATAATATCCGTCTCACGCCGTGTGTTTTCCAACTAAAACTACCCCTTTTACGTTCTCTCGTTCGCGATTTGCGTAAAAGTTTGCGCTTGAAAGGATTTCCAATGGTCGAAGGACTGGGGAAAGTGCCCGGCCATAGAATCCCTGAATCTTTAAAAACGCGATGAAAGGTGTTTCAGAAATAGGGTGGGTATAGAAGAAGAAGAAGAGGAAGAATGGAATCGATCCCTGGCTCGTTCTCGATCTCTGGATTCGATCGAGTCCATCGAACGCGCGCAATTCGAATTTCGCGCCGAAATTCCGACCGAATTCGCGAACGAAAGCCAGGCCAGGAACGATTTCCTGCGGTTTCTCGCGGCTACTTCTCATGTTTCGCTTGGAAACCCGTCATTTTTCTCACGGCTCTTGCCTTACGGCCTTCCCTCCCCCTCTCCTTTTTTTTTCTCTTGAAACAAGTGTCATCATCGAAATCGAACCTTAGAATTCGTATCTCGCCCCATTCGTATTTATAGATAAAAGATATTTTTCTCGAACGATAATATTTCTTTTCTTCTGAACGATTATCATTTTTTAAACTTTCGATCGAGATATTTTACTTCATTTATAATTTAACATAAGCTTCAACCTCGACTGAAATTTGAAGCCCAAAAAAAAAAACAAAACGAAACGAAAATCAGCATCGATTAATAAAACGATTTGAAATCTATTCGAATTAACTCGATCCAGTCCCGGTAAAAAAAAAAAAAAAAAAAAAAAAAGAAAAGAAAAAGAAAAGAAAAAGAGAAAAAAACAGAAATATAACTTGTATAACCTGGACGATTATTATAGAAATTACGACAAGAGTCGAAGGAAGATTTGAAGGATCATTCGAGATAATTCACGTTCCATTGTCATGCAAGATAACAAGCACGAACGAGGAAGGGGGGAGGGAGATATAATGCAAAAATTAAAAACACTTACCGGCCGCTCTTTGTGATGACCATTTCCGTGCCGAGTTTGTGGAACTTCTCCCAAAGCTCTTTCCCCTCGAGGGTCACCTTCGGATCGTCCACGACCCCGTCCTCCTCCGGGTGATGGGGGGGCACGAGAGGGTGGTGGGGGCCCGCGAGGGGGTGGTGCGGCGCCAGAGGGTGTGGCGAGGTGTGCAGCATCCCCGGGGGTAAGGGAGGCCTGAGCGGCCTCATCGCTGGTCCACCAGGACCGCCTTGATGATGATGGTGCAACGCTGCCGCCGCTGCCGCCAGGACGGCTGCTTCCTCGGGCGTGTGCGGACCCAAGCCTAAACCTGGAAAGAAAAACAGGGAAAGAAAATTTCGTGTGATTTAACGAAACTTGTGAAACACGACTTTCTAAACGAATCTTGTGTAATTAGAACGGGAAAATTAGAATGTGTTGATAACGATCGAGTGTAATTTTGAAGGGAGGGTAAAGGTATTGGGGTTCGATTAATTGTACCGAGTATAATCGAGAAGAAGAAAGAAAAATGATCGTTTCATTCTTTTTAGGGAATTTACGAGCGTGCAGAGAGATTAATTCTCCGCGTTTCGATTGATTATTGATAAAGAGGGGAGGGGGGGGGGAGGTGAAACGTGGAACCGCATCGGATTAAAATACACGCAATTGGAAATGCCATAGTTGTTATTTATTTTATCGCGGGAACCGTTAAACAACCGAGGAACGATAAACTTTATCTTTCTTGCCGGCCGCCGCTGTAAATCGGCAACAATACGGGCCGAGTGTCGGTTTTGATAATGCGCATTTACAATTCCCTTCCGATGTTTAATTAAAATATTATTAACGTTTAATTCGAATCGAATACGGATGGAAACCGCAGCAAAAATAACAGTAACGGGCCGCATCACTTTTCCACGATTCCTGTTCGAGAACAGGAGTGTGGATTCTTGATTGAAAAATATATCCTCCTATATATTTATACACGATGACCTTTTGTTGTAAATTAAATCATACCGCGTGGACGGCAATGGCCCCGCGTTTCAACAACGCGGCGGAGAAATTTTAATAAACGCCGATAATTCGATATAAATTACGAAGGTGTAAAAAGTTAAAGCGAAACAAACCGAAACGTATTATTATTATTATTATTATTATTATTATTATTATTATTATTATTATTATTATTATTGCTTTCGAACGCTGTTCGAAATTTCTGTTCGAAATAAAAGGATTTTACCCTCGTTTTCTCTCAATCGTTATCAACGATCTTTCAACTTTTTTTCTAAGAGCGAAAGGGAGGGCCTCGAAGATCTCGGTTTTTCGATTCGCGGCTCGAGTCGATCGTCTCGAGAGGGAAGGGCAATTGTCTGGAATACAGAGATTGCTCTATTGACCCTCGAGCGCGTCAGCTCTATTTTTAAGGTGCTGTGCACGCTCGAGGAGCAAGTATTCGCGATTTTCTTCTCAAAGTGAGAAGAGAGAGAGAGAGAGAGAGAGAAATCTATCTACCTTCGGGCAACTTTCGAACTTTTCCCGACAGAGCAACCTTCGGGGCACGAGAGTTGAAGAAAAAAGAGAGAGAGAGAGAGAGAGAGAGAGAGAGAGAGAGAGAGAGAGAGAGAAAAGTAACAAGTAGTTTCAGCGGGTGGGGGAGGGTTGCGAGCTGTCAGTCGATCCACCCTCGCGAACTTTAAGCGGTTGTCTTTCACTTTTTATCCCTTGATCTCGTTGAATCTCTCCATCTCTCCTTCAATCCTCGAATCCTGGACTCTTCGTGTCCGCCAATTGTGTTTCAATTGGAGAACGATTATCTTTTTTATATAATCTACCAAGTTCTTGGTAAAGTTGGTTAATGAAAAAGGGGGATATCTCCTTCCATTCTTTTGTAATCGAGGCAAGATTAATCGATCGATCTTTAACGTTGATTAGATTTTTAAGTAAAGAAAGGATACGTTGATAAATAATAATAAAGAAAAATTCGAAGTATTCGAGAAAGAGAAAAATAAATTTTACAAGAATTTATATAAATTTATAATAAATATATTCTTTGATGAAGAAAGATTGTTTCCGTAAATCTTTCACATTGAATAAATAAATTTCGAACGAAGTGTGTAGAAACAGCGTCAAGTACAAGCGTACGATTTATCGAATAATTCGAAATCATCGTGCACGGAGTTTGAATAGAGTTGGAATATTTACTAGCATACAAACATTGAATAAAGTATTGAGCAAATATTATGTGCACTTTTGGAATAACAATCGATAAACAAATAAGTTAAAAACTCTGTTGCAACGCTTAACTTCTGTCAAATCAAATTTACTGTTTCCCAATGAATCAAATAATTAGTTAAATATTCTTTATTACTTGTCGTGTAACATCTTATTAATGCTAATGCTTCCACAAATAGAAACAATATTTATCGTATCCGTGGTGCGATCTTGTTGGGAAATTTTTGTAAATTCGTCGGCATCCTTTCAAGTAAATTGAGAATCAATAAAGCGAGCTGACACTTGAGATAACCAAAGAGGACTCAACTTTGAAATTCTTATTAACGGTATCGCATCGAAGAATTCGCTTCGTCGATCGAAATTTATCGAATTTTTTTCCTTTTTCTTTCGAACGATATTACCGATATTTCATTTAAGCGGATCCCCCGTTTAATTTCCAATTATTGATCGCTAAGGAATAATAAAAAAAAAAAAAAAAAAAAAAATTCGACTCCGACTTTAATATAATCTGCACGAAAAATCTACAGACGAAAAAAAGTGAGAACCTTCGAAACTCGACCACTGACCGCTTTTTCATGCGAACAATTTCATTATTTACAGCGGCTTATCCTTCGATTTCCAACATGTTTTCTTTAGTTCCGATCAATCGCGAACTACCTGTTGCATTGAAAAAAAAAAAAAAAAAAAAAAAAAAGAAAAAAAAATAGAAAAAGAAAAATAAAACTCATCACTTTCGTTCGTAAAAATTTCGTTCGATCTCCGATCGGTTACAAAACTTTGGTGGAAAAAAAAAAAAAAAAAAAGAACTTGTTAACTATCCTCCAATTTTTATATACCGATATATTCCGATACGCGAAATATTCTTCGTTTCGATTCTATTCTAAAAAAAATTTTCTTTGCGCGATAAAAATTTAAATTTTTCAAGTAAAAAAAGAGAGAGAAAGAGAGGAGGAAAAAAATCTTTAAACAAAATATTTTTACATATATTCACTTAAATTTAATTAATTACTTAAAATAAATTTTTCATTTGCAAATTACAATTTCTTATTCCAGCAAGTTTTTCAAAGAAAAAAAGAAAAAAAAAGATAGATTATTCTAATTAATCACAATATATCCTACAACGATTATTTATATTTAATAACAATAGTTTATGAATTTTTTTTCTAACCAAGAAATACACGGTTGAATAAGCTTGCTCGATTATCGTTCATAACGATGCAAATCACGATTATATTATTTATGAATAATGACACGGTTAATGGTTAACAACACGGACACGGCTCCCGGTATTTTCTTTTCGTTTCAATCAATTACCGACAGCAGACAGGAAGAAAAAAAAAAAAAAAAAAAAAAAGAAAGAAAAAATACAAAACCTGTTGCCACTGTTAATGACTTCATGATTGTTATCATGCAAAGTCCGTGCGAGCCGATCATTTAAATCGATACTATTTATCTGTTTTGTATATTACCGTTCCTTCGTGTATCTCGTGTTTCAAGCGAACACCCTTCATTTTTCACGGATAATGGATCCTGATTTTTACGTTTCGTCTCTTCCTTTCACCACGGTCAATGAAATAAAGAATTGGAAATGATATATTTTTACATTTTAAAACTAGCATCTCTTTCCTAAAATTTTCCAATTTATGTATACATAACGATTTGGTAATTTTATTTTTATTTTGAAAATAAAAATAATCGAAGAATAAAAATAAATCGTTCGAGGCTTCGTTTTTAAATTAAAATTTAAAATTTCTATTTTTCGTTCAATCATGTTATTTCTCTCTCTTTCTTTTTTTTAGAAAATGTTTATATCCTTTCCTAAATATTTATATATCGCGCAATGATACTCGATAATGATATAAAAATAAATAATTAAAATTCCACTCGAATCATTGCGCGAGCCTCGATTCGATTCTAATTCTTATGCTTGGAGTAGAATATAATATAGATAAAATATAGATACGAATAAAAAGTATCTTTAAATATATCTACATACATACATATATATATATTTTTATCGCGATTCTTTCTCCCTCAAAATTATTTTCGAAACTAGGATCTGTGAAATTGTTAAAATTCGCAATGGTATTGCACGAGAAATGTTGTGCAATTTGCTTGTTGATTTTCTTCAACAAGCTTTGCAACGATGCAATTTCAACAACGGTGTTGATATTCCTACCAGTTAGAAGCGGAAATGTGGTTATTAATAATTTGATAATATTATTTCACCATAAACGATCCACCGCGGTGCAATTAAATTGTATTGTTGTTCCATCGTCGCGGCAGCTAACGTGTATATTTCGAGCGAATTTTTGGAAGAGAGCATGGCAATTTTGGAAAACCTGTGCAACCGTTTCGTGCGTTCGACGTAATTATTCGAGCATTACCGCTCCAGGAGATAATTATTACCGGTCGTGTTTTATATATTTTATGCACGTTAATGACGATGATTCATCGAGGTCGAGCCAGCCTCGATTTTCGAACCACTTGTTGGTTCGTCAATTTCCCGAATATGGAATATCCAACTGTTCCGGTTCAAAATCGATTTAATTATATGTGAATATCGATAAAAGAATTTTGTCTCTTTTCAATTTAAATTCCTTCTTTTTGTTCGTATAGTGAATAGATAGTGAAAAAATAAAAATCATTTAAAAAGAGATATATTATAATAATTTTAAATGTATTATTTATCGAATAATAATTCGTTATTTTGATCAAATATCATTGTTCCTGTAGTCTTAAACTTTTAAATTATATAATTATTCTATAAAATTTTCTTCCCCTTGCAATTATTGCGAATAAAATTCAAAAGATTGGATTTGCAAACGACCAATTATCGAGATAAAATGGCGATTGAATATCGATCAGAAGGAAAGTAGAAACGATTTTCCGAATGTATCGCATAGAACGGCGAAAAAACGAACGGCGAGTTTCGATAAACGATCGCTCCATTTTTTATCCGAGTAAATTTCACCTGGAAACGTGGACTACAATGCCGGCTGCCATTAATTGCGCCGCTTTCTATCGGTCGTTTGTTTTTATTTTTCCCCCCTCCCCACGACACCGAACATACTCGTGTCTCGAAATGTGAACGACTCGATT